GACTTTGGGTTACATGAATTCTAGTTCAGGTTCTGTAGTTACCTCTCTCTGTCATAGACCTTGAAAAACTCCTCTGTGGTCCCTAATGTCTCCATTTTTAAAGAGAGGGAGTTGGGAGGGAATCTAGAGTTTTAAAAATGTACCATTAGGAGCCAGCAGGTAGTGTGGTGGTTAAGGACGCTGGACTCCCACACAGCTGACCACAGTTTGAGTCCTGGCCCTGGCAGCTTGCTTTCTCACTTTCCTTGTCTCTCTCTCTCTCTCACTCTGTCCCTCTCTGGTCAAATTAAAATAAATGAATAAATAAATAAAATCAAGTTCAATAAAATGATTCTTTTTTAAAAAATGCATAATTAAAGGGAAATCACTACACATGCAAGCATCTGCCTTGTTGTATAACTTCCAGGGCCATATTTGTTCTATAATTCAATGACCCTAAAAGTGAAAGGTTAGTCTTTCTGCTGCATATGCAGTTCCATTTGTGATCATTGCTACCATGTGAAGAAAGAAGAGTGTTCATTTGGTTAAAAGCACACATGACCATTTGTTCTTACTCCTTCCCATGTCTGGCATTTTAATTATACTTTTTAGTTTTAAAACTGATTTTGTTTAATGGTCTGCAATCACCAGAACAAAAACACCTTATGCTTTTTGTGATCCATCTTGTTGGTATATTTGCCTCACCAAATTACAGAATTATCTGACTCATCAGGACAAAAACAACATTATATCCTCCAGAGAGCAAATTGAAAAAAAGCAACTCTCCCATCTCTGAGCAAGATAATTGATCTCATTTGGCTGTTGATGCTACCATCATTCGCTCTTATCACTCAGACTTGAAAACCTCAAATTATTTTTTACCCTCCCCAACTTTCATCACCCACAGAGTCACCAAGTCATACTGAGTTTCCTTTAATAATATCTCTTACATCAATCTCCTCTACTACCAACCAAGTTCAAGTCCCTATTATCTCTCAGAACTGGACAACTACAATATTCCCTTTCTCCCTTAATGGCTTCTATGGGGCTTCTTTTATTATAAAAGTAGCATGTGCTTATTATGGGCAATTTAGAAACTTCAGAAAGGTGGACAGTGAATAACATCAGTTACCCACAATCCCTCTGCCTAGGATGATCCTTCAGTATGACCCACCTCCCTCTACTCACTGCTCTCACTATATATGTATGCATTTTTATAAAAATTAGGAATGGAATAAATTGCACACCTAAGATCTGTCTCTTACTTTTTATACCATGACCATTGTGTTATGACACTAAGTGCTTTGAAAATCTAAATTTTTAAAACTAATTCTCAATTTTTGATGTTCCATTGATTTCTAATCTGTTAGAAACAACCACTGCACTGATCATTCTTGTGCCATTGTTGGATTATTTCCTTAAAATCAATTGCTAAAAACATAATTATAGGGGCCGGCAGGTAGCATGGTAGTTAAGGGTGCTGGACTCCCACATGGCCAACTGTAGTTCGAGTCCTGGACCTGGCGGCTTGCTTTCTCACTTTCCTTCTCTCTATATAATTACAGGATATAAGATTCCTGTTACGTTTTTCTCTATTGCCCTCCAGAAAGGGCACATAATCATTTTACAGGCCTACCAGCAGTGCATAAAAAGTACCAGTTTCCCATCAACTTTTAAACACTGGATATCACCTCTTTTTAGAAATGTATTAGGCCAGAGATGTATATCCCAGCAATTTTTTGGTTGGTATGCCTTATACATATTAGTGAGTCCAAATATGGTTTGCACAGATATTGGGCATTTGTGTCATGGCATTTTAATAGTCTCCATTCTGCTAAGAGGAGTAGCAAACACAAATGCTTTTTAGAGGTCTGTCGTTTAGGTTAACATGTGGAAACCCACAGTACGGAACGGTAGGGCCTGAGATGAACTGGATAGTACGTGCCCTGCCTAAGATTCCAAATTGAAAGATTTTCAATATACCCTACTGGCCAAACAAAACATCTAATGGGAAAAACTGAGGCCTAGTATGCCAGTTTGCTACCATGCTAGCGCCCTCCCTCTCGTCCATTCCCTCCAGATTGTCACAATGATATCGCTAACATCATCCCATTTAAAGCTGTTTCTAATGTGACCCTAAATCTCTTTCTCAGAATACCCCTATCATAAGTCTACTTCTGTCAGAGAGACCTCATAGAAGATGGTGAGATTCTTGAGGACAAGCTATCTGATAAGAGGCAAAGTGGCACAGATACAAGAATGACAGAACTCTTACACCAGACAGTCCTGGGTCAAATCTTCCCTTATCACCAACTAGTTGTGTGACACCAGCCAAGTTACTTGACCTCACTGAGGATCCACTACTGCAGCTATAAGCTGGTACTAACAGCACTTATTCCATAGGATGGTGATGCAGATGGAATAAGGTGATATAAGCAAAGCTCTTAATGCACTTGGCTGGCATACAGGAGACTTTCAATAACTGGTTGGAGTTGTTACTAACTTACACAATTCCCAATCTCCAGTCTATCACAGTAGCTGGTGAAGTGAAGAAAAGAGGTATCTCTAAGGAAAACACCTATGATAGTGCTTTTCAAAGTGTGGTCCAGCCTATTTTACCAGGATTGGAGTAATTTGTGAGCTCCTGTTAAATATGCAGCCTCCTCAACTTACCCGAGACCTGGTGAATCAGACTTTCTAGAGGTAGAGCCCAGCAATCTGTATTTCTTTTTCTTTTATTTTTTTTAGAGGTTTTTGCCTTAGAGTGTGTGCACTTGATAGAGAAACAGGTACAGAGATGATGAGAGGGGAAGTGAGAAATCACCCTGTAGGGCAGAGTGTACACAGGCACATGTGCCTGGCATGAATTTCAAGCCACCAGGCCCGGGACTAGAACCACGGTTGGCTATGGGAGTCCAGTAACATAACCACTACATCATCTGCTGGATCCAAGAATCTATATATTTTTTTCTTTTTAAAGAATTATTTACTTTTATTTATTCATTCATTTATTTTAATTTGACCAGAGAGAGAGAGAGAGAGAAAGCCACCAAGTCCAGGATTCAAACCATGGTCGGCCATGTGGGAGTGTCCAGCACTTTAAGCACCATGCTACCTGCTGGTCCCAAGAATCTATATTTCTTACAAGCACTCTAGCTTACTGAGCGTCAACTAAAGTGGAAGAAGAAATGGTTGTCATGCTTGCTCCAGTTATGGTAAACAATCTCATCAGGCACTGAACTTTTAGATCTACCTGTTTAGTGGTGCCCCAACCCCCAGGAGCTGGCAGTTACCCACCGTCTGTGAAAAGAAGTTGGTGGAACACTGATTCAAATGAATCCCCTTCTGGTAGTGTATCCCCTCCCTTCCTCTCTCCCCTAACCAGATATCATCACTGCCATTAGGAATCACACATTATTGTAAGAATTCTTCGGGGGATTAAAGGTAAATGGAAATTACTACCAACAGTAATACTAATCACTACCATTCATTTTTTAAAAAGACTCTTGCCATAGGGGATGTGCACTTACTGGAGAGACAGAAAGAGGGATAGTGAGAAATCATTCCCTGAAGGGATGGCCATGCTGAACTCCCTTTTCCTCCATTCTCCTCTCAGGACTTTGGGCACACATATGCACCTGGTGTGTTTTTCAAGCCACTGACTTGAATTATAGAGTCGGCCATGTGGGATCCAGCACCTTAACCACCATGCCACCTGCTGGCTCACCCTCACTTATTAAGCATTTACAATGTTCCAGGTGCACGAAGCAGATCCTACTAAATGAATTACCATGTATGCATTGAATTTAATCCACATAGCGACACTATGAGATAGGTGCCATCATTCTTCCACTTTACGAATGGAAACCGAGTCGCAGAGGTTAAAGAAGTTAGCCAAGGTCCAAAAGATGGCAAATTACACAGCAGAGATTTGAATCTAGACAATCTGACTCCAGAGCTCAGGCTATTATCTACTATGTTGTACTATTTCCCTAAATTAACTGTCCTATGCTTGGCTTTACTAACTTAAGATATGTACAGTGAATTGATATTTATTTCATTTACTGTCCTTCTTATTTAATTAGGAGGAATGTATCGTAGGAGCCTCAAACCATTGTTTTCTCCCATAATATCTTGGGTTTTTCAGCCATGAATTCTAGCATGAGAGTCTGCAGGAAACCAATGATCATAGTTGGAGTAGGTCTGTTTTACTTTCGTGTCTCTGGAGTTCAGTTTTCCATGCAACTGCACAAACAAAATACATTTCAACTGCTTACTTTATATTTCCCCACATTACATTTTTAAAAAGGCCTGCCCATCAGGCGAGCTTCTTAAAGGAGGCTCCTCCTCCTGCGTGCTTTCAGAAAATATGTTTTCAACCCCAGAGAGAGAATGTGGTTCAGTGACATGAGATAGGCAAAGTATTCCAGGGACTTCTTACTGGTATGCTTGGCCTGAGATATATTTTAAATCAGCTCTGTTTTTAATCTCTTAGATAAATTATAGTTTAAAGTAACCAATTTCATAATGATACATCCGACAACGTGCATAAGCCTTAAAAACATTCTGCTAAGTGAAAGAAGCCAGACCCAGAGGGCAAAGAGTATGTGATTCCACATACATAAGGTTCATAGAAGAGACAAATTCACAGAGACAGAATGTAGAACAGAGGCTCCCAGGGGCAGAGGGGGAATGGGGAGTTGGTGCTTAATAAGCATGGTTTCTGTTTGGGAAGATGAGAAACATCTGGAAATACGGAGTTGTCGGAAAATTCGTGATATATTTTTCTGTTTTTCTATGCAAAAATGCACTTCGTGACTTTTCTAATGACCCAATAGACAGTGGTGATGGTTGTACACCACCATAAATGTACTTAATGTTACTGTACATTTAGAAATGGTTAAAATGGTAAATTTTACATGACACATATTTGACCATGATTTCTAAAATTCCATAGCCTCCAAAAAACAAACAAACAAACCAAAAATAATCCATTTCAAATCCCATGAAATCATGCTTACCAGGGTATCATCATTCTGGTCTCCAAACATCTCCTTAAAAATCTTGCCAGGATCAGGAATGGGAGGGAATATAATGATCTTGAGCCTTTAAGAAAACAGAGACATTTGGGATCAAACCTCAGTCCACAGGAGCATCCCACTTAAATACAGCCATATTAAAAGAAGGCATGGACAAAAGACATGGTACTACACCTTTTGTGACAAGGCAGTTGTGAAGAAATTTCTATACTAGGTTATTAGAAATTGATATCTGAAGACCATCAAGTTTGGGTGGAGGAAATGACCCAACCGATGAGCAAATTAATTGAGCCCTGTCATTTAAATAATGATGGTACTGTAGTTTTAATAGACTGAATGGGAGTTTGTTACATTTAATTTTGGAAAAAAATATAATAATCTGAGAACAGGGTGCATTCCTTTGGCATTTTTCTACCTCTTTTCTCTTCATTTTTGAATCATATGGTGCCCTTGGGTAGGCCTGCCTCAGCTCCTGGGTTGTCTCCCACTGGTGTGCCCCAGGGTTCAGCCTTCTTTTCTATCTCATTCACTTTATTGATAGCCTCTTCGCCTTAGGGCTCTAAATCCATTTATATGCCAAAGACTCCCAAATTACATCGCTTGCCCAAACCTGTCCCTTAAACTCTAGATTCCTGAGTACAATTGCCTATATATATATTTTTTATTTTAGAGAGATATTTGCTATAGGGTTCTTGTACTTGCCAGAAGAGACAGAGACAGACAGAAAAGCAAGAAATCATCCTCCAGGGGGGATGGCCATGCAGCAATCTCTTCTCCGTTCTCCTCTTGGGATTCTGGGCACGCATGCACACACACACCTGGCATGAATTTTAAGCCACCAGGTCCAAGTCTCAAACTGGGGTGGACTACGTGGGAGTCCAGCAACATAACCATTATGGCACTTGCTGGTCCCTATAATTGCTTATTTGACATCTCTACTTGGAATATCTAACAGGTATCTCTAACCTAATAGGTTCAAAACCAAAGTCCTCACAGTTCCCTTAAAGCCAGTTTTTCTCATAGTCTTCTCTGTCTCAGTAAATGGCACCAGCATTCACTCAGTTGTACAAGTCAAAAATCTAAGCAGGAGCCTTGAATCTTCAATGTCCCTCATACCTCTACAGACAGATAAGCAGTTAGCTGCTAGGAGCAACTCTTATCAATTCTATTTTCAAAATAAATCTCACACCTGACCACCTTCTTACTATCCCCATTGAACACCCCTAGTATAGGCCACCCTCACCTTTCTTCTAAGACACTACCTGTCTCCATTCTTACACAATTTAATTTTTTTTTCTTTTTTTGGAGAGGTTTTCGCTATAGGGTGCATGCGCTCGCTAGACAGAGAGACAGAAAGCGAGAAATCACCCCCTGGGGGGATGACCACGTTGCAGTCCCTTCTCCTCCATTCTCCTCTCGGGATCTTGGGCACGCCCGCACATATGTACCTGGCATGAATTTAAGCCACCGGGTCCAGGACTCGAACCGCGGCTGACTACATGGGAGCCCAGCGACATAGTCATTACACCAACTGCTGGTCCCAATAAGTCAATTCTTCACTTAGCAACTACAGTGATCTTTTATGATCAAGCAAATTAGGTTTTATCTCTCCCCTCCTTAAACTCGCCGAGGTTTTCCACCATGCTTAGGATAAAAATTTGGGTTCTCTGCCACAGCCTGCATGTTCTGGCCACCAACCTCTCCACACTCATCTCCTGCTACTCTCCCCCGTGTATGCTCTACTCCAGCCAGACACACCAAGATCTCAGCCTTGGGGCCTTTGCGCTTGCTGTTTTCTTGGCCTGGAATGCTCTTTTCTCAATTATCCGAATGGCTCACTCCTTTAACTTTGAGTCTCTTTTCAAATATCACTTTCTCAGAGAGGCCTCCCAGGCCATGTACATAAAATGAACCTCCTGTCATTTCCTAGTGCTCCCTCAACCTCATGAACTTTACATCTCACTTTACATAGCATTATACACACACACACACACCCACACACACACACACCCACACACACACTGTGTGGTTCAAGTCCTGGACACATTGAAAGAATGCTGAAATAATGATAAAAATATTGGTTCTGGACCCTGCTGAGTGACCTTATTCCACCCACAGATATTTACTGCAAGGGACCAGCAGTTAGCGTAACGGCTATGTCGCTGGACTCCTACGTAGTCGACCACAGTTCGAGTCCCGGACCTGGTGGCTTAAACTCACGCTGGGCGCGTGTGTGTGTGTATCCCAAGAGGAGAATGAAGGAGAAGGGTTTGTGGCGTGGCCACCCCTCCTGGGGGATGATTTCTTGCTTTCTGTCTGTCTCTGTCTCTGTCTGGCGAGCGCACGCACCCTATAGCAAAAACCTCTCCAAAAAAAGAAAAAAAAAAAGATATTTACTGCAAGAGCAAATAGCAGTCCCAGTAATGAGATCAAGAAAGTAAAATGTTCTCAAGGAATGAGTACGATATATTAGTGACACCTGGTGAAGCGCTCTTTCCTACAGCCTGCTTTGCATTAATACCAGTAATATAGTTTCCACTTCTAAAACTTCATTTCAAGAGCTACTTACCAACTGCTGATAAATTAGGGATCTGAAGGAGTGAAGTGTTCAGCAGTGCTAAACGCACATGAAGGAGCAGTGCTGGAGAAGACCCTGGGAAACTCATCCAACACTCGCCTCACCAGAAAATGGCATATGATAATCCCTCTTTGCCATATCATACTACCAGGAGCCATGTATGGCCAAAATGCTTCTAATACACTGGACAAGCAGAAAACATGAGCACAAAGAGGAACAGCCACAGCAGCCAGGCTAGCAGAAACCGCAAAGCCTGTCCAAGAAACTGCCTTACCTTTTTAAGTAAAGCAGAAGGACTATGACTGCACCTGCAACGATGACTGGAATCAGGAGTAACATGATTATGTACAAGGTGGAATTGGGCTTCTCACCTGGGAAGTGGAAGGCAGAGAGACATGAAAATAAAATCCTATCAAGATAAACAACAATTCTGTTAGCTAAAGGGGATCACAATGATTTCTGCCCCTTCCCTCCATCTATTTTACAAAACTCTTCAGTTCTCTTATTTTCTGTTGTCTTAATAGTTTCTTTCTAAAAAGTCCTATCCTAGTGTCTGAAATTCCCTGGATGAGCAAACACCTTAAGTATTATCAGGATGTCTTATCTAGTTTCAGACTATGAACAAGTGTGTTAGACCTATTAAATATGCTACCTCATTAACAGTGATTATCTTTTCTAATTGGTTACTTAACCACTACTAAAATGCTTGAAATCATCCTCACAACTACCACTATGACTATTCCTAAGTGAGCACCGACTATATGTCTGATACCGTAACTAGGTGCTTTTACATGCTTATATTGTATCTGTGCTATTATATCTCCCATGTATACAGATGAGAAGGGAAAGGCTCAGAGAGGTGTAACAACTTGTCCCCAGGAGTTTAGTGCCTCAAATACATCACTGTCCAATTCCAAAGCCCGCCTCACTATATCTAACACATAGGTATTTGTCTATTTGTTTGTCTTTCCTACGGGGGCTTGGACATACAATAAGCGTCATCAGGGCACCATTGTTTTGGGTAGCCTCTAAGATTACCCCAAGTGATTCCTGCTTCTTGATATTAATATCCTATGCAATTCCTCCCGCTTGAATGTGGGCTGGATTAATTGACTCTCTTCTAAATAAAAGAACAGGGACTAGTACATGGTGTACAGGTTGGGGCTACTGGATCCCACATGGCTGACTGTGTGGTTCAAGTCCTGGACCTGGCAGCCTGAAACACACGCCAGGTACGTGTGCATACCCCAAGTCCTGAGAGGATGATAGAGGAGAAGGGACTGCGGCATTGCCATCCCCCCGGTGCAGTGACATCTTACTTTCCCTCTGTCTCTGCTTCTGTCTCTCTCTGGTGAATGCACACACCCTACACCAAACTAAAAACTGTAATAATAGAACAGAGGCAGTGACAGGATGTCATTCTCAAGATTAGGTTATAAGAGTCCATGGCTTCCAGGGAACCAGCAGTTAGCGTAATGGCTATGGTCATTCTCAAGATTAGGTTATAAGAGACCATGGCTTCCATAGCTCTCTCATTCTTTCTCGCTTGGATTTCTCACTTGAGGAAGCCACGTTCTATGTTAGGAGGTAGCTCTAATGGGAAGTCCAACTGGCAAGGAACTAAGGGAAGTATCCATATTAGTTTCCCAGAGTTCTTAAAACAAATTACCACAAACTGGGTGACTTAAAATCCAAAACCTTATTCTCTCACAGTTCTGGATGCTAGAAGTCTAAAATCTAGGTACTGGCAGGGCCATGCTCCCTCCGAAATCCCTAGAGAAGAATCCCTCCTTGCTTCTTTCTCACTTATGTTGGCTTCTGGGAATCCTTAGTGTTCTTTACCTGTAGCTGCCTCCCTCCATTCTCTGCCTCCTCCTTTTATTTTCTTTTATTACCAGGGGGTGCATATGCTCAGCAGAGTGAAACAGAGAGAGAGTTTAGAAAGAGAGAGAGAGGAAGCTCCCCAAAGGGTCATAGTCCATGAACCCCTTTCCTTTACTTCTCTGCCCCATCAGGATTTTGGGCAAACATGCACGTACACCCAGCATAGTTTTTCAAGCCAGCAGAGCCAGGATTCAAACCACAGTTGATCATGTGGGATCCAGCTCCTAATGCACAGCTCTTAATCACTGTACTATAGGGCCAGCCCATGTGCCTCCTTCACATGGCATTCTTCTCTGTATATCTCTGTGTCCCCTCTCCTCCTCTAAGGAAATCAGACTGAGGTCCCACTAATCCAGTATAACATCATCATAAATTGATTACATCTGCAAAAGCCCTATTTATAAATAAGATCACATTAGTAGGTACTAGGAGTTACAATTTAAACATATCTTTTCAGGGGACACAATTCAACTGGCAATAGCCTCCAGCCAGCAACAGTGAGGAACTAAATCTTTCCTTTGTTTTTCGTTTTGTTTTGTTTTTTAAAGGTTTTTGCCACAGAGTTCATGTACTTTCCAGAGAGAGACAGAGAGAAGGAAAATGAGAAATCATCCCCAGTGGGGATGGCCATGCTGCAATCCCTTCTCCTCCATTCTCCTCTCAGGATTTTGGGCACGCACGTACACGCACCCAGCATGATTTTCAAGCTGCCAGATCCAGGACTGAACCACAGTCGGCCATGTGAGAAATCCAACACCTTAACCACCCTGCCATGGGCTGACCGCAGCAACTGAGGCTTTTCAACAACCACATATGTGAGTTGGGAAGTGGATTCCTCATTCCTAGCCAAACCTTCAAATTATAGACTGCAGTACGTTGTCTTCTGGCATTGTGCCATCTACAGACTTGATCATGCCTGTCTTCTATATTTTTGTTCAGGTTGTTAATAAAGATAGAGATGGGATAACACCATTTGGATTGAGATTTTCCGAAGTGCTGTATACTGCAAATTAACCCTGGGTGATTTGACAGTAATTGAACAGAAAATAAAAGTTGAATTGTAAATATTCTTTGTCTGACATCAAGAAAGCATGATGGGGGAACCAGCAGTTAGCGTAATGGCTATGTCGCTGGACTCCCACGTAGTCGACCGTGGTTCGCGTCCCGGACCCGATGGCTTAAAACTCACGCCGGGTGTCTGTGCGTGCGCGGCCAAGATCCCGAGAGGAGAATGGAGGAGAAGGGATTGCGGCGTGACCATCCCCCCTGGGG